TTTGATCCAGGGAGGGATAGAGCAGCTCCAATTCCTTGGATCAAAAACATCCTTAATCCTCTTTGATGGAGGGGGTGCGTACGTTGTCCTTTGATGTCCGTTAAAGGTTCTTGATCCAGGTAATTGGAACTAACCTGTTCTATGGATCAAAGTGCCATTCGTCAAGTGCTGTATGACGCATACGGGTTTAGCCCTTCCCCTGAATATAATATTAATGATAATAATAATAATAATAATAACAATAATAATAATAATAATAAAAATAATAATAACAATAATAATAATAATAATAATAAAAATAATAATAATAGCAATAATAATAATAATAATAATAATAATAATAATAATGTTAATAATAATAATAATAATGTTAATAATAATAAATATTATTATACCACAAAATATATCTATATACATGGTAAAAGGGGAGCTGCAAGTATCTCTGTTGAGTTATGTATACATGAGTATACACATGTATATACATGTATATACATGTATATACATGTATATACATGTGTATATACATGTATATACTTTTGTATAGTTTTATACACAGGTATTGAAGCAATCATGAGTTTCTTCAGTTCTCTAGTGGAGGCTGGAGGGACGTGAGGAGGCTGGAGGGACGTGAGGAGGCTGGAGGGGCGTGAGGAGGCTGGAGGGGCGTGGGAGGCTGGAGGGACGTGAGGAGGCTGGAGGGACGTGAGGAGGCTAGAGGGACGTGAGGAGGCTGGAGGGACGTGAGGAGGCTGGAGGGACGTGGGAGGCTAGAGGGACGTGAGGAGGCTGGAGGGACGTGAGGAGGCTGGAGGGACGTGAGGAGGCTGGAGGGACGTGAGGAGGCTGGAGGGACGTGAGGAGGCTGGAGGGACGTGAGGAGGCTGGAGGGACGTGAGAGGCTGGAGGGACGTGAGGAGGCTAGAGGGACGTGAGGAGGTGGAGGGACGTGAGGAGGCTGGAGGGACGTGAGGAGGCTGGAGGACGTGAGGAGGCTGGAGGGACGTGAGGAGGCTAGAGGGACGTGAGGAGGCTGGAGGGACGTGAGGAGGCTGGGGGACGTGAGGAGGCTGGAGGGACGTGAGGAGGCTAGAGGGACGTGAGGAGGCTGGGGGACGTGAGGAGGCTGGAGGGACGTGAATAGGCTGGAGGGGACGTGAGGAGGCTGGGGGACGTGAGGAGGCTGGAGGGACGTGAGGAGGCTAGAGGGACGTGAGGAGGCTGGGGGACGTGAGGAGGCTGGAGGGACGTGAATAGGCTGGAGGGACGTGAGGAGGCTAGAGGGACGTGAGGAGGCTGGAGGGACGTGAGGAGGCTGGAGGGACGTGAGGAGGCTGGAGGGACGTGAGGAGACTGGAGGGACGTGAGGAGGCTAGAGGGACGTGAGGAGGCTGGAGGGACGTGAGGAGGCTGGAGGGACGTGAGGAGGCTGATGGACGTGAGGAGGCTAGAGGGACGTGAGGAGGCTGGAGGGGACGTGAGGAGGCTGGAGGGACGTGAGGAGGCTGTAGGGACGTGAGGAGGCTGGAGGGACGTGAGGAGGTTGGAGGGACGTGAGGAGGCTGGAGGGGCGTGAGGAGGCTGGAGGGACGTGAGGAGGCTGGAGGGACGTGAGGAGGCTAGAAAGACGTGAGGAGGCTGGAGGGACGTGAGGAGGCTAGAGGGAAGTGAGGAGGCTGGAGGGACGTGAGGAGGCTGGAGGGACGTGAGGAGGCTGGAGGGACGTGAGGAGGTAGAGGGACGTGAGGAGGCTGGAGGGACGTGAGGAGGCTGGGGGACGTGAGGAGGCTGGAGGGACGTGAGGAGGCTAGAGGGACGTGAGGAGGCTGGGGGACGTGAGGAGGCTGGAGGGACGTGAATAGGCTGGAGGGACGTGAGGAGGCTAGGGGGGACGTGAGGAGGCTGGAGGGACGTGAGGAGGCTGGAGGGACGTGAGGAGGTTGGAGGGACGTGAGGAGGCTGGAGGGACGTGAGGAGGCTGGAGGGACGTGAGGAGGCTGGAGGGACGTGAGGAGGCTAGAGGGACGTGAGGAGGCTGGAGGGAGTGAGGAGGCTAGAGGGAAGTGAGGAGGCTGGAGGGACGTGAGGAGGCTGGAGGGACGTGAGGAGGCTGGAGGGACGTGAGGAGGCTAGAGGGACGTGAGGAGGCTGGAGGGACGTGAGGAGGCTGGGGGACGTGAGGAGGCTGGAGGGACGTGAGGAGGCTGGAGGGACGTGAATAGGCTGGAGGGACGTGAGGAGGCTAGAGGGACGTGAGGAGGCTGGAGGGACGTGAGGAGGCTGGAGGGACGTGAGGAGGCTGGAGGGACGTGAGGAGACTGGAGGGACGTGAGGAGGCTAGAGGGACGTGAGGAGGCTGGAGGGACGTGAGGAGGCTGGGGGACGTAAGGAGGCTGGGGGACGTGAGGAGGCTGAGGGACGTGAGGAGGCTGGAGGGACGTGAGGAGGCTAGAGGGACGTGAGGAGGCTGGAGGGACGTGAGGAGGCTGGGGGACGTGAGGAGGCTGGAAGGACGTGAGAAGGCTGGGGGGACGTGAGGAGGCTGGAGGGACGTGAGAAGGCTGGGGGGACGTGAGGAGGCTGGAGGGACGTGAGGAGGCTGGAGGGACGTGAGGAGGCAGAAGGGACGTGAGGAGGCTGGGGGACGTGAGGAGGCTGGAGGGAGGTGAGGGCTGGGGACATGAGGAGGCTGGAGGAACGTGAGGAGGCTGAAGGGACGTGAGAAGGCTGCAAGGACGTGAGGAGGCTGGGGGACGTGAGGAGGCTGCAGAGACGTGAGGAGGCTGCAGGGACGTCAGGAAGCTGGATGGAGGTGAGGAGGCTGGAGGGACGTGAGGAGGCTGGAGGGACGTGAGAAGGTTGGAGGGGCGTGAGGAGACTGGGGGGACGTGAGGAGGCTGGAGGACGTTAGGGGCTGCAGGGACGTGAGGAGGCTAGAGGGAAATTGAGGAGGCTGGAGGGACGTGAGGAGGCTGGAGGGACGTGAGGAGGCTGGAGGGACGTGAGGAGGCTAGAGGGACGTGAGGAGGCTGGAGGGAAAGTGAGGAGGCTGGGGGACGTGAGGAGGCTGGAGGACGTGAGGAGGCTGGAGGGACGTGAATAGGCTGGAGGGACGTGAGGAGGCTAGAGGGACGTGAGGAGGCTGGAGGGACGTGAGGAGGCTGGAGGGACGTGAGGAGGCTGGAGGGACGTGAGGAGACTGGAGGGACGTGAGGAGGCTAGAGGGACGTGAGGAGGCTGGAGGGACGTGAGGAGGCTGGGGGACGTAAGGAGGCTGGGGGGCGTGAGGAGGCTGGAGGACGTGAGGAGGCTGGAGGGACGTGAGGAGGCTAGAGGGACGTGAGGAGGCTGGAGGGACGTGAGGAGGCTGGGGGACGTGAGGAGGCTGGAAGGACGTGAGAAGGCTGGGGGGACGTGAGGAGGCTGGAGGGACGTGAGAAGGCTGGGGGGACGTGAGGAGGCTGGAGGGACGTGAGGAGGCTGGAGGGACGTGAGGAGGCAGAAGGGACGTGAGGAGGCTGGGGGACGTGAGGAGGCTGGAGGGAGGTGAGGAGGCTGGAGGGACATGAGGAGGCTGGAGGAACGTGAGGAGGCTGAAGGGACGTGAGAAGGCTGCAAGGACGTGAGGAGGCTGGAGGGACGTGAGGAGGCTGCAGAGACGTGAGGAGGCTGCAGGGACGTCAGGAAGCTGGATGGAGGTGAGGAGGCTGGAGGGACGTGAGGAGGCTGGAGGGACGTGAGAAGGTTGGAGGGGCGTGAGGAGACTGGGGGACGTGAGGAGGCTGGAGGGACGTTAGGAGGCTGCAGGGACGTGAGGAGGCTGGAGGGACGTGAGGAGGCTGGAGGGATGTGAGTAGGCTGCAGGGACGTGAGGAGGATGGAGGGACGTGAGGAGGCTGCAGGGACGTGAGCAGGCTGCAGGGACGTGAGGAGGCTGGAAGGACGTGAGGAGGCTGCAGGGACGTGAGCAGGCTGGAGGGACGTGAGCAGGCTGCAGGGACGTGTGGAGGCAGGAGAGACGTGAGGAGGCTGGAGGGACGTGAGCAGGCTGGAGGGACGTGAGGAGGATGGAGGGACGTGAGAAGGCTGCAGGGACGTGAGCAGGCTGCAGGGACGTGAGGAAGCTGGAGGGACGTGAGGAGGCTGGAGGGACGTGAGGAGGCTGGAGGGACCTGAGGAGGCTGAAGGGACGTGAGGAGGCTGGAGGGACATGAGGAGGCTGGAGGGACGTGAGGAGGCTGGAGGGACATGAGGAGGCTGGGGGGACGTGAGGAGGCTGGAGGGACGTGAGGAGGCTGGAGGGACGTGAGGAGGCTGGAGGGACGTGAGGAGGCTGGAGGGACGTGAGGAGACTCGAGGGACGTGAGGAGACTGGAGGGACGTGAGAAAGCTGTAGGGACGTGAGGAGGCTGGAGGGACGTGAGGAGGCTAGAGGGACGTGAGGAGGCTGGGGGGACGTAAGGAGGTGGGGGGACGTGAGCAGGCTGGAGGGACGTGAGCAGGCTGGAGGGACGTGAGGACGCTGGGGGGACCTGAGGAAGCTGGAGGGACGTGAGGAGGCTGGAGGATCGTGAGGAGGCTGGAGAGACGTGAGGAGGCTGGAGGGACGTGAGCAGGTGGAGGGACGTGAGGAGGGCTGGGGGGACATGAGGAGGCTGGAGGAACGTGAGGAGGCTGGAGAGACGTGAGCAGGCTGGAGGGACGTGAGCAGGCTGGAGGAACGTGAGGAGGCTGGGGGGACATGAGGAGGCTGGAGGAACGTGAGGAGGCTGGAGAGACGTGAGGAGGCTGGAGGGACGTGAGGAGCTTGGAGGGACGTGAGGAGGCTGGAGTGACGTGAGGAGGCTGGAGGGACGTGAGCAGGCTGGAGGGACGTGAGCAGGCTGGAGGGACGTGAGCAGGCTGGACGGACGTGAGAAGGCTGGAGGAACGTGAGCAGGCTGGAGGGACGTGAGCAGGCTGGAGGGACGTGAGCAGGCTGGAGGGACGTGAGCAGGCTGGAGGGACGTGAGCAGGCTGGAGGGACGTGAGCAGGCTGGAGGGACGTGAGCAGGCTGGAAAGACGTGAGCAGGCTGGAGGGACGTGAGTAGGCTGGAGGGACGTGAGCAGGCTGGAGGGACGCTACAGTCTACACTCTGCCCGAAGACATCGTTAGTGCACGGAACTCTTCGCCACACAGGCGTAAGTGACGTTAATAAATAATGTTGAGTGGTGAGACACCTCTGTGTGTCTTGGTCCTCAGACCTGTTCATTACCTGCCTCAGACCTGTAGAAAGTAGTCCAAGTGATAAGTGAACGCTGAACCACACTGGCCACGTCAGACGTGCAAACAGTGTGAAGTACAGACGTGTAGACAGTGTGTTTCCAAGTAAACGATGACCACTTACTACTTTCTCAGCGTCGCAAGAGTAGCTACGCTACTGAGAACCCGCAGCTCATCCTGTGAACAGTAGCGCTGAGGACGAGGGTTACACAGGTCACTATGAGTCTCGGTCAGACCACATTGGATATACCTTCATCACGAAGATTATTACAGTCACGAGATATATTGCTAACATAGCTAATCTACACAATGGAAGCTCCAGAAAATTTTAAAAATATCTTTTCATATCTACTAAAATTACTGGAGAAATAGACACAAATGCAATAAAACGCTATCCACTGCATGGGCGAAACGTTGTCAATAAAGAATCTCATTATACTGTAGTGTCTATTTTTCCATCTTGTTGATACTGTATACCATTTATCTCTATTAAAATTATTACTTAATATTAAGTTACACTGTCAGCAATAACAGCTCATCCATCTAGCCGATCCAGTATGTGGATACAGTCATAACATTTGAGATGTTATCATTAAAAGTGAAGTGATTTACTTTTGTTTACCCTGTAAGGCTTGCCTAGAGGCGTCTGTCAATGGTTGTATATTTGGACACTGGGAAATATAGTGTTCTGGTGTGTGACACCCTGTCTCCCGTCTGCTGAAGAATGAGACACTTGTGCAACATTCACACAAGTGTCCCATTCTTCAACTTGTAGATTTTCGAAACTATTTACATCACCCCCCGTCACTGTTCACCCAGACTTCACATTTCGTGTGACTGACATCTCCTTAGACACTGTCCTGCCAGGGATGCCCATAGTCTATCTAGCCTTAGTCTAGCACCGAGAGTTAGGTAGTCCGTGAACACAGCATGTTTATGTTCAGGTAAGTTTGTTAGGACGGGTCCTAGCCCGAGTCTTCTCCCTGTGGTGACCCGGCAGTGGCTCCCGAAGGAGGAGGAGGAGGAGTTCGTACAAGTGTTGTACCGTTTACAGAGCATTCATGTCAGGTGGAGCACAGTTTTGTGAACACAGCCTCTTCCTGCTATAAGGTTTCTTCAGTGGAGAGTTGTTTGCTGTGTTCTAACTCTTTATCTCGCGCCTCTAGAGTAGGCAGCAGAAATGTGACATCTAGCATGTCAACACACTCTGTTAATGCGTTGAATAATAACATAAGAGACTTGGCGAGGTTTCCACCTACAGGGAACTGCACCCGGGTGATCCCATGAAAGGAGGATCTTGGGACCATGTTTCTCTTTGCAATGAGAGAAAAAGAATTTGAAACTCTAAAGAGAGAGAAACGTTGTACCCGTGAAACCTTATCCTGCAACGTGTACTGTCTTCAGTGTTGATGGAATGCCACTGAAGTTGATGCCAGTGTCACACACCTTACAAGTGAGTGTCACTTAGGTTGGCACTAGTGTCACGTACCTTACAAGTGAGTGTCACTGAGGTTGGCACCAATGTCACGTACCTGACAAGTGAGTGCCACTGAGGTTGGTGACAGTGTCACGTACCTTACCATTGAGTGCCACTGAGGTTGGTGCTAGTATCACATACCTTACCAGTAAATGCCACTGAGGTTGGTGCCAGTGCCACGTACTTCACTCACTTCGTCATGGATTGTCAGGAATCAATGATCTTACCCATAATTGATGGTGTTGGAGTGAAGGTTAAGGTCTGATATACTCTACCTAACACGCTCATTCTAATGTTATTTCATATATTCTTATGTTTCTTGATCTAGTTGTTGGTGAAATTTCGTCGACAGTTCCAAGTGTTGTAGATTATTGTGTACCCGACTTAAGCTTTATACAATATTAAGTCTAATTCTATTGAGCTACTTACTATATTGTAGTATGTTATAAATAATGTTCAGCCTGGAACTATACATGATAAGGCTGAAGGCAAACTATGCAGGGAAATATGTTATAGTGTTGTAAAGCTTTTATTGGAGAGCACATCTTGATGTGTGATTGTGTGTGGTGCTTGCTGGTTGCTGCTGCTGCTGCTGCTGCTGCTGCTGCTGCTGCTTCCTAGGGATATGTGAGCGGCGGCCAGGTCCCTCCCGGACCTGCGCTGTGCGTGGTAGTTGTGGATCTTGAGTTTCTCGTAGGAGGTGCGGCCGGGGGAGGTGATTGTGGGGTGCGTCGGGATGAGGGGCGGTCCCAGACCAAGCCCTGGCAAGACCTCCTGCTCCGGTATATTGTGTGAAAGATCGTGGCGCGGGGAACCGAGATCAAACCTGTGGGTAGGGATGGGGAAGTCTCCGTGTGTTGACTCATCACCTGTAGTGGTATAAGAAGAGACAATGGGAGAGTATGTGGGTCCCACAGTCACACCATGAGGAGCTTGCGAGATCGTAATACGTGATTTTTCGTTTATGTGAGTGCGAGGTGGAGGCAGTGTTGAAACATGGGACGGTGGAAGTGTTGAAAAATGGAAAGATGTTTGGGACGAGCTGTGGGGAGGTGGGAAAGTTGCAGCTTGTGGTAGTGGTGGTAATATAAATGGTTGTCTTTGTGGTGATGCAAGTGAGATGTGCTGGTGTAGGATCCCAGGTCCCACCGTCTTAACTTCATAGGGAACTATTGCATATGTAGAACGCTCAGGTTCTGGCGGCGAGAAGGGAAGGTGTCTACTGTCTCCCAGACTGGGCACTTTGTTATCGTCCTGTTTGAAGCTGCTGTAACTGTCTTGGTTAGTCACATGTTCGCCTGCTGCTTCTCTGTGAATCTGCGCCTCAGGAAAGCCTCCAGGAGGTTGAATAACTGGGAAACTTGATAAAGGTTCTGAAAGTTGCAGATAACTGAGATCTGGTTGGTCGGTGTGCTGTTGGTGGTTTATAATGTCTAACAACTTTGGTAAGGCGGGGATGTTGACGTGTTCAGTTGAGCTTATAAACATAGGAGAGAGGGAAGCATTCATCGGTCGTTGTGTAACGTTGGGCTCTATTTCCTGAGCTGAGCTGATTGGTCGAACTAGATTGATGGTAGGAGGGCTATTTTTACGCAGGCCATCTCTGTTTCCACTTATGTCTGGTTGAATTTCACGAAACTCAGGAGCTAAAGTTACAGCAGCAACTGGACTGGTTGTGACAGCCTTGTCAGACGATGTGCCTGATACATTGTTGCCTTGGTTGGGGTCGTCACTTACGTTCTCTCTGGCATTCTGTGACGATGACAAACTAGAAAATTGACCTTGAATGGAGTAGTTACTGACATCTGTTCTTGGGCTGTTGCTAGTCTGAGGTGCTACGTCTGGCGCGGAGTTGTCTAGAGTTATACTGCCAGAAATTTCCTTTGTGGACTTGTCATCATTCTGAGACGATGTGGCAAGGAAATAGTCACCTTGATTAGAATTTATAGGATTTTTTCCGGCATCATCACTACTGCTGTCCAAAGCAGAAGGCACTCCATGATTATCCTTCATATTGTTAAACTCTTGCCCGAAAGAATTAATAGGGTTGTTATTGTTTTGAATAGCATTTCCAAAGCTTTGCCTGATGTCGACATTATTGTTGAGTGACGTAGAAGGCTGAGAATTATCAGCATTAAAATTAGTAACAACTTGTCCTGAGACGTCATTCTTTGTAAAGGATTCAGAAGGAATGTAATCAATTTGGTCAACCTTGCCACTGGCTTCTGCTGTTGGCTCAAAATTAGTCTCGGAAAACTTGGTAGGGTCGTTGTTTCTCTGAGTTGGGCTGTCAGTGGATAGGTCAGGAGAGGGAATGTAGTGGATGACCTCGGGTGTCCTACCTCTGCCGACTACAGCATTAGTAATTCCCACAAAGGAGTTCCTCTGGTCGAGATTGTCTGGGTAGTTAGGTCTTCGAAAAGCGATAATCTGGTCGATCACCGAAGGTCTCCGTATAGTGATGAGCTCCTGGCTTTCAGGAGGAGGCACGGAGAAGCCATTTCTGGTACTGTTAGTTGGCTGAAGGCTTCTGCCAAACTGATGTTGAGAAGTTCCATTGCTGTTGCCCTCATCAACGGTTCCGACGAAGCGACTCTGCTTCCTGTTGGTATTTGCAATAATCTCTAGTTCTCTACCGCTGAGTTCTTCAGTGTTGACAACACCTCCATCAGTAATACCAAAATTTTTCTGATTTCTGTTGGTATTTGCAAAGATCTCTAGTTCTCTACCAGTAAGTTCTTCAAGATTGATAATTCCTCCATTAATAGTACTAGCACGATTTTGTCTCCTGTTGCTGTTTGCAATAATTTCTAGTTCTCTACCACTGAGCTCGTCAATGTTGATTATACCTCCGTTAATAATTCCACCGTGGATTATATCACTAGGAAGGTTTCTGGCTATATTAAATTCCTTATTGGCATCCCTACCATCAGTAAGGTCGACGCTACTGATATCCAAGTCTCTGGCTTGATTATTAAATCCACCCACACCTATGATTCCACCGTCAATTATATCATCGCCAAGATTTCTGCCGAAGCTATTATCGCCTATACCTATGATTCCTCCATGTATGATGCCGCCATCGATTATATCACCGTTAATCATGTCCTCATCTATGAACACGGCCAGATCATTCCCGTCTCTCCCATTCATCTCTCCTAGCGTAGCCTCGTTAACTATGGCTCCCATGTCGTCTACATCAAGTTTCCTCAACACTGTGTCACCCAGGGGCATTCTTCCGCCACTTAGGATGCTGTTCAGGTAGTTCTGCAGTTCCTGGTACTCCTCATGTGAAAGCGTCTCCCTGAGAGGGATGGTAACGGAGGCAGGAGATGAGGGGACATCTCCTGGGGGGTTATTCCGTGGCGACTGATTCAACGCTTGTTGGGAGTTTTGATTGCTATTGGCTGAGGTGCGTCCAGCCGAGGATGCACCTTTCGCAGACGTCTGTGCGGCCGAAAGGGTGACATCAGCTGATGAGGGGAAGGCGGTGGTAACCATGTTGGTGGAGTCTGATGAACTGGGAGGTACTGAGATGTTACCGTCGCGCTCACCTGGGCTGGAAGTGTCCTGCAACACGCTCTCCTCTGAAATATAACGTGGGTAGCATTAATTAATCACGTTCCTGCATATTTGTTGCGCTAGTGAAAAACTCAGTAATGGAAGGAACTGCTCAGCACATTCCTTCGAATTAAGATAATAAGATAATGAATACAGTAAAGTTGTGATGTAAATGATTTAGAAAACTGACAAGTTGAAGAATGAGACATAAATAAATAAATAAATAAATATATATATATATATATATATATATATATATTATATATATATATATATATATATATATATATATATATATATATATATTATATATATATGCAGCCTCCTCGCTGCTGCATTTACCACCCAAGCTTCACATCCATATAAGAGTGTTGGTACTACTATACTTTCATACATTCCCTTCTTTGCCTCCATAGATAACGTTTTTTGACTCCACATATACCTCAATGCACCACTCACCTTTTTTCCCTCATCAATTCTATGGTTAACCTCATCCTTCATAAATCCATCCGCCGACACGTCAACTCCCAAGTATCTGAAAACATTCACTTCTTCCATACTCCTCCTCCCCAATTTGATATCCAATTTTTCTTTATCTAAATCATTTGATACTCTCATCACCTTACTTTTTTCTATGTTCACTTTCAACTTTCTACCTTTACACACACTCCCAAATTCGTCCACTAACCTTTGAAATTTTTCTTTAGAATCTCCCATAAGCACAGTATCATCAGCAAAAAGTAACTGTGTCACTTCCCATATGGGTTATAGTAAGTGTTTATGCACATTGAGAAGAGAGAAGTGTAGAAGAGGGAGAGAGAAATTTTGGGAAATGTTCAGTGAGTGCGTGGGGAGTTTTGAGCCAAGTGTGAGAGTACTTGTGGTTGGGGATCTCAATGCTAAAGTGGATAAAAATGTTGTGGAGGGAGTAGTAGGTAAATATGGGGTGCCAGGGGTAAATGAAAATGGGGAGCCTTTAATTGATCTGTGTGTAGAAAGAGGTTTGGTAATATGTAACAATATTTTATGAAAAAGAGGATAAATATGTATACAAGGTATGATATAGCACGTAATGAAAGTACTTTGTTAGATTATGTATTGGTGGATAAGAGGTTGATGGGTAGGCTTCAGGATGTATATGTTTATAGAGGGACAACGGATATATCTGATCATTATTTAGTTGTAGCTACAGTTAGAGTAAGAGGTAGAGGTAGATTTTCCTCATTAGCCTCTGATGTGGAACTTTATCAAAAGCCATACTGAAATCGATATACACAATATCACATTCATTACCATGTTCTACCTCCTCAGATACCTTGGTGAAAAAAATTAGTAAATTCGTAAGGCAGGAACGCCCCTTTGTAAAACCCTGCTGAGATTTATTAATTAATTTATGCTTTTCAATGTGGCTACGAATTGCCTGGGCAGTTATTGATTCCATAAATTTTCCCACTATGAAGTTAAGGCTTGTTGGTCTATAGCTCGAAGCTAAGGACCTGTCTCCTGCTATGTACATAGGTATTACATTTGCCATTTTCCAGTTATTTGGCGCTATGCCAGTTTGTAGTGATATGTTGAAAAGCTTAGCCAAAGGTTCGCTAAGCTCCTCTTTACATTCCTTTAGAACCCTTGCAACAGTTCATCAGGGCCTGGGGATTTGTTCGGCTTTAATTTCTCTATTTGTTTGAGGACCATGTCACTATGACTCACGAAATCGTAATGACACGATTGCAAACAAACCATACCACGGGTGGGGCTTGAACCCGCGGTCAGAGAGTCTCAAAACTCCAGACAGTGTGCAATTGTGTCATTACAATTTCGTGAGTCATACTGACGGCTTTGAAGGGACTTGAGCTAGAGTTCGTCACGGCCACGCTAGCCAGAGATTCGTCTGTAAAAACTTTCATTTGTGGTTACAGTGGTGCCTATGCTAACCTTCCTATGGTGTAGAAATATACCTAGTTGGTATATTGAAGCTAGCTGTTCCAGTGGCTAACGCGACGGTCTTGAGTTTTGAGACTCCCTGACCGCGGGTTCAAACCCCACCCGTGGTGTGGTTTGACTATATCACTAGTTACCCTAATCGTGCATAGTTTATTATTTTTAAGTGGGTCAATCTTGTCCTTAATCTTACTTCTGTATACCTGAGAGAAACCTCTTGGGTTAGTCTTCGAATTCCTTGCCACTTTAGCCTCATAATCTCTTTTAGCTTTTCTTATTCCCTTGTTTGTTTCCCTCTTTAAATGAGTATATTGATTTCTTAACTGTTCATCCCCTCTTTTGATATGCCTATATATGCCTCTGTTTTGACCAATGAGATGTTTTAATCTATTGTTTATCTATTTAGGATCATTTTTGGTTGATTTAATTTCCCTACTTAGAACATAAGTTGTCTGGGCAGCTAGAACTATACTCTGTAAAAATGTCATATTGGCAACCATCACCACCTACCTAACCCATCGTCAGGTCATTCCAATTTAGCCCACCCAAGTAATTTCTCAGTCCCATGAAATCGGCCAAGCAGAAGTCTGGGACAGAGACTTGACTGCAGTAAACAGATGATATCACACATGCAAAAAACCACTGCAAAAAATAGTGAAATTCAAGCACTTTCGTGATTTCTCCTATTATAATTGAACTGTAAATATAAAAGATCAACAGAAAGACATAAAGAAGAGACTTAACCAGAAGTTACCTTACAATGCTTTACCTTTTTGTGATGACATAGGTAGGTAGTCAAGGACTGTCAAACACAGCATATATTCTACCCAAGCTTTAGGATTTTAACTTGTCTGATGTATCTTAAATTCTTCCCAAATTTTATTAATTATAAATGAATCCATTTTGTATAATCCTAAAGCAATATTGAAATTAATTTCAAAACTATTTTTTCATGAAACGTGATTCTACCATATTTATCTCCACCTGGACTTGCTTGATATAACTTTCTTGATTTTAATCATCCAGTTGATTTTCAAAATCAACTGGATGGTTAAAATCTCTCACATGAATAAACAGAGTATTAGAATCTTGTCCAGTTCTAATGCTATATTTATGTTGTTTTAATCTTAGCTCGAGACTTTTACCAGTTTGACCGTAATATATTTGATCACATTTTTTTAGAAGGAATCTTGTACAATTTTTATATCAAAGTTGTATCTTGAAAACATTCATACGGTAATAAACTTCTGATAAAAAAAAATCTCAAACAACTGATGACGTTGTTTGAGATTTTATTTATTACGGTCAAACTGGTAAGTGTCGAGCTAAGATTACAACAAAATAAATTTAACATTAGAAGTGGACAAGATTCTAATCTCTGCTTATTCAGTGGAGATTAAAACCCATCCAGTTGATTTTAAAAATGCCGAGAAACATAAAGAGGCATGGTCGAGGAAACTATAAAGCAGGTCTATGGTCGAGAGAAACATATCAAGCAGGTCTATGGTCGAGAGAAACATATCAAGCAGGTCTATGGTCGAGAGAAACATATCAAGCAGGTCTATGGTCGAGAGAAACATAACAGAATAAAGTCTCATAAAAAAATTTTTGGAAATTATTTCGTATTGCTTTAGGATTATACAAATTAGATTCATTTATAATTAATAAATTTGGGAAGAATTTAAATATATTAGACAAGTTAAAAATCAAGTTGAAATCTATGAGCTGTGTTTGACAGGTTCTTGACTACCTACCTACATCATCATAAAGAGTCAGGTGTTGTAATTTGACCGCGGGTGTTCTCTCCTTATATGCCTTTCTGTTGATTTTTTTTTTACAGTCCTTTTAAGTCAACAATCACGGAAGCTTCAGAATATCATTTTTTTTCGGGTGAATGTTTAGCCAACAACAGTATATTATAAACCGTCCCCACCCTTTTTCAATAGCACTTTTTCCGGGGCTCGAAAAATAAATAACTGCTTCTTAAACTAGTACACAAAAGGGAGTGAAGAAAAAAAATTCAGAGGCGTCCACACCACCGTATGTCCTTCGAAGGTGGGTAAAACACCTAGCTTGGCTGGATCACCATTGTTAAAAGCTGTATGGTCTAGGGTCAAAACTTAATGTTTTATTTCACAATGGGGGGGCCAAAACGCATGGGTTCGCCCCTCGGTAGTGCTGGTTGTTACTGTCAGTACCCCTTGTTCCGGGGGTACAATAAATTTTAGCTTAGAAGCTCCCACCCCTCCTTACCCCCGGATGCCCCCAACAGCATGTGTCTGGCTGCGCCATTCTTGTAGGGTTGGGTGGTCCGTGGTTTAAAAAAGTCATGTGGTTCTCGCTTACCATGAGGCAGGCCGTACAACATGGGTTCGAATCCTTGTCTACGCATTTTGCTACTGATCAAAACCCCCTTCTGGTAAATAATATAAATATATATATATATATTATTTATATATATATATTAATAAATATATATATAATTTAAAATATATATATATTATATATAAAAATAGCAAAACAACCACTCTGAAAAATAGAAATTTTCCCGCGCTTTCTGACTCTCACATTATCAAGGAATATGAAGTAAAGCATCCAAAGGAAAACTATATAAGGGGTCTGGCCACACCTCACTATCAGATCCCCCAACGGGTAAAAACCCACCGCGCCGACCCAACTGGCAGGTCCTTTGCACAACTCACCAACAAACTATTTACCCAAAAAAATTTAAAAATTATTTTTTGTCCGTGTATTATTAAATTTTTTCCAAATTCTATTAATTATAAATGGATCAATTTTAAGACCAAAGGAAATATTTAAAATTGTCAAAACTGCTTTTTATGAAACAAATTCAATTTTATTCCTGTCGACCCTGGACTTGCTTTATACTACTTTCTCAACTTTTTTTAAAAAACAATTGGTTTTTGGTTTTAAAATCTCTACATGAATAAAAAGAGCATTTGGAAAACTTGTCCAGTTCTAAATTATATTTATGTTGTTTTAATCTTAGTTCGAGATTTTTACCAGTTTGACCGTAATAAACTTTATCGCAAATTTTACAAGGAATCTTATAGACACATCCATCAGCATTTTGGGGGGAATTCT